AGCCCTGGGCAGTGCCCTGCTGCATGATGTTTCTGCAGGGCAGAGCTGAGCACACAGCAAGTGGGATGGGGTCTGTGAGGATTGGTAAGGAGGACAATGGGGACAGAGAAGCAGGTCGTGGAAGGGACAGCTCCAGGCAGCAGGGACATGGGCAGGAAGGGATAGGGAGCTGTTTCCAGAAATGTCCTGAGATGTTGAATTCGGTCACCTCCCTGCCATTCCCTGCAGCTGAGACAACTTCCCCCGAGCTAGTATCTGGTCTCCTCTCCTACTCAGCACAGCCTCCTCCGCAATGCCGCTGAGTCCAGGGCAGGAGTGAACTCCTCAGCAGTTGAACCTCCAGCCTAGAACTGCCTGTGTCCTACAATTGGTACAGAACAAAAAGGCTACAGATGAGTGCCCCACATTGTCACTGTCTGTGGGGTGGAGAATGTAGCTGGGTAAGCAGAAAGCTTCTCTGCATGCCTGGCTTCCTCCCTCCCCTTGTTGTGCTTCTGTGGAGCAGAGCCCTATTCTTCCCTCTTTCCACACCTGTCCATCCTGCTCTGCTTCTGGGGTGAGGGTATGGGTGAGCTTCTACTCTGACTCTACCTCAAGGGGTCCTTCCCCAGAGGGTTCACCAAAGAAACAATGTGTCTGTGCTGTATTTTGTACATTCATGCAGAACATCATTCAGTTGGTGGGGTGAGAAGGAGCTGGCTCATTCCTCAGTCAGCTCAGGGAGGGGTTTCTGTGAGAAATGGCAGGGGCTTTTCATCAGACAAGTAATTTCTAGCTTATCCGTGTCCTTCCCTCCTTGGACAGGTCCCCAGACCAGAGGAAGGAAATGTCCCACAACAACTCCATTACTGAGTTCCTCCTCCTGGCATTCGCAGACACACGGGAGCTGCAGCTCCTGCACTTCTGGCTCTTCCTGGGCATCTACCTGGCTGCCCTCCTGGGCAATGGACTCATCATCATGGCCGTAGCCTGCAACCACCACCTCCACACCCCCATGTACTTCTTCCTCCTCAACCTCTCCCTCCTCGACCTGGGCTCCATCTCCACCACTGTCCCCAAAGCCATGGCCAATTCCTTCTGGGACACCAGGGCCATCTCCTACTCAGGATGTGCTGCCCAGTTATTTTTCTTTGTCTTCTTGATGGTAGTGGAGTATTGTCTTCTCACCGTCATGGCCTACGACCGCTACGTCGCCATCTGCAAACCCCTTCACTACGGGACCCTCCTGGGCAGCAGAGCTTGTGCCCACATGGCAGCAGCTGCCGGGGGTAGTGGGTTTCTCTATGCTGTGGGGCACACGGCCAATACATTTTCAGTGCCGCTCTGTCAGGGCAATGCTGTGGGACAGTTCTTCTGTGAAATCCCCCAGATCCTCAAGCTCTCCTGTTCACACTCCTACCTCAGGGAAGCTGGGCTTTTACTGTTCGGTTTTTCTTTATCTTCAGGGTGTTTTGTTTTCATTGTGGTGTCGTATGTGGGGATCTTCAGGGCTGTGCTGAGGATCCCCTCTGAGCAGGGACGGCACAAAGCCTTTTCCACGTGCCTCCCTCACCTGGCCGTGGTC